TAAAACTTGAATGAGTAAATGCATAGTAGTCATACATGTAACTACTAGTGACAAAGCTAAAGATGAATGACATAATGATTGGAAATGTAGGGAGAAATTGAGAAACGTATATCTAGAGTGAAAGTTAGAATTTTTTTAATTCCTCTCTCAGAACTTGGCAGATCTTTAGACAAATACAACAAGGACAAAAAGACTGAGTAACACCATGATATAAGGTTGGGAGTGTATATACACACCCACGTGACTCTGATAGTACAAAATCAAATAATTCTTTTCCTGAGACCATGCTCAGTTACATAGGTGATTTTATACTTAACCTCAAGGAAAGCATCAAAGAAATGAAAAGGTTGAGTATTGCAGGGCACAGTGTGCCCTCATATTGCATAAAATACTTTCATGTTGATACTGTAGTGCTGGCCCATCCAATGTGGCAGCCAGTCTCCTCCTGTGGCTGTTGTGCGTGTGAACTGTAGCCAGTCTCAGTTGAGATGTGCTGTTAGTGGAAGATACATACTGATTCTTCAGAACACAGTAGGGAGAAAAGGATGTGAGATACCTTACATAAGTTTATTTAAATATTGACTATTTGTTGAAATAGAACAATTTATAGTAAGTGTGTATTCAGTTAAATAAAAGATTGGGTTAACTCAAATTTGTGATTTAATGATTAATTGTTTGAAAATTATAAAGTTATCAAAAATAAATCCAACCAGATCAGTATAGAGAACAGATTAATGGTTGCACTGGGTTAGGGATGGGAGTTGTCAGGAGGGGTGACAAGTTAAGGATCTGGTTTGTGGTCCCTGATTTAAACAAACCTACCTGTGATAAAATTTCATAGATATATACACACACACACTTACACACCCACCCACGTAAATTTACCGTGTAAGGGTTCAGTTGGGTCTCTCAAAAATTATATGTTGAAATCGTATCCACTGCCTTGGGATATTACCCCATTTAAAGAAAGGATCCTTAAAAAAATAATCAACTTAAATTAAAGACATTAACAGTGGGCCCTCCTCCAGTATTCCTGTTGTCCTTATTAACGGGAAATCTGGTCACAGAGATATGCATAGAGGGAAAAGGTACTAATTTTTTATTTCAAAAAACAATGTTAATGAGAAATAATGACTTGGGCCTGTGGATATGCTTCTCTGCAGTTAAAAGAATAAATTTCTATATGAAGATTTAGGACTGCTTTAAGGTTTTATTATAGTCCATCTGTTGTGTTTCAGGAATTTTTTTGTTTCTTTCATAATAATTATGTTTGTTAAAGTATAAAATTTAGAGTTTATTTTAATTTAATCATATGTTCTTTCTCAAATTTAAGAATATGACTACTACCCTTATATGTCATAGTAAATACTTTTAATGTATAAACACGGTATAAATGCAGGTTCAGAATTCTCACAATAGAGTCAAACCCATAGGAACAAAGATTAGAGGAAAGATTAGCATT